CCCGCCCGCCCGCCCCTTTCATCGTTTTCATCGACTCATTAATTTTTTTTTTGAAAATGAGATCCTTCGACTCTCCTCTCGGATTTCTCCGTTTCTGTTCGATAAATGACGATAACCAATCATTTTTTTTCGCTCTCTAATTTTTATTTTTCCACAAGTGACGTTTTAAAAATTATCCTCATCCTCTTAGGTACTCCCACTATGGTGGGATAGAGGGGAGGGGGGAGGGGGAAGGATTATTTAGCCCCCACTCCGAGGATTCTAACCCGAAAAAAACGGACGGTAGTGGGGATTGCGGAAAGAAGGGAAAAGAAAGTGGAAAAATGGGGAGTGGGAGGCGTTGCGCAAGGGGAAGTGCGTAAGAAGTGGGGAGAGTGTGGGTGGGGTAGAGGGGGAAAGAAGCGCCGCTGGGCACAGGCGCAGGAGTTTTTCCTTTTTTCGTCATTTGGGGGGTGGTTTTTGTTGGGTTTTTTTCGCCGGGGGTTTTTCTTGCTCTTTTGGAGATGCCGAGACAGCGTGATATATTGCGTCGCGTGGGGGCTAGTGAGGCGCGATGGTGCACAATTTTTCCCGCCGAAATTGTTAATTACCGGGTTTTGTTCCATTTTTAGATGATTATTGGGGGATATTTGATTTTAGATTGAAATTCTAGGTTTTTTTGGTTTTCTTTTTGTTGTTCTGCGGGAATTTTTAATTGGATGCGCGTATGCGGTTGCGTTGAAATCACTGACGGGTACACGTATTAGTAATTAATTTTATTGAGTGGGGGAAATTAATTACGGATAATGAAGTGAATTATTTTTTTATTGAATGAAAGGTTTAGACTGATGAAGTCTTACTTGAAGGATTAGAAAGTTTAGTCAATTCTCAACTCTAAAAGAACATTTGAATTAATATTTCATCGCTGTCGACAAATCCAAAAATTGTTAATTATCGGGTTTTATTCAATTTTTCAATAATTATTGCGAGAATTTTTACTTTAGATTGAAATTTTAGTTTCGTTTTTGTTTTCTTTTTTCTTTGTTTTTCGGAATTTTTAATTGGGGAGCCTTTTTGGATGGATATGTATGCGTTTGCGGTGAAATTACTCAGAAGTAAGGATCTTCATAATTAATTAATTAATTAATTTCATTGAATGAACGAAATTAATTAATTAATTACGGTTAATGAAAGCTGTTAATTTTTATTGAATGAAAAATTCAGACTAATAAAGTCTTGCATCGAAAATTAAAAAATTATCTTGAGAATTTCACCAGAAAAATTAGGGTCTGAAATTAAGACGGTTTTGTCCTCTTTTTAAGACGTTTGTGTCGCCAAATTCAAGTCATTTTGTGTCTCGAATTACGACATTGGGACAATCCCAGACATTTTGAGTGTTTCATTAATTCGAAGATCTCTTGTGTTTAATGTCCTCGTATATTTTTTTGAATGAGAGGTCTTGAAGAAATTAATTTTCACAGAAAAACTAATGTCTTAAATTAAGACATTGAAAACTTTTGTTCCAAACTTATGACGTCTCATTTGTTTTTGCAACTACTTCATCCATTTCTAATTATTTATTATTTAAAGACATTTTAAAAATATCTCGTCTGTCAAACGTCTTATTCTTAGATAGACAAAACGTCTTACGTGTTCAATATCCAAAATTAAGACCTTCCGAAGACTCTACTTTTCCCAGTATTAGTAAATTCTCAATTCTAAAGGGACATTTGAATTGACATTCCATCGCAGTGACATGCACACCATCTCCCCCTGGAATCATCAGAATATCCCGCGATGATCCGAACGAATCGGAAATTATGAACCAAATAATTCAAGATTAAACCTGAAGACAACAAAAATCAAAGTGCTTACTCACCCCCTCGGCGACAATTTGAAGGACGAGTTGATAATTAAAACCATGTCTCGGCCTGCGGAAGCCGTCAACCGTGACATCACACACGACGGTATAACAGCCCATCGGACAACCGCAAAATAGTCCAATGCCTCCTTCCATCAAATGCGTAAACTCCAGCCTAGAATGAAAATTATTCTATGAATTTATGATCATCCGTTGATCGCTCCCATCCCCGTATTATGTAAAACAGTTAGATTGACATTTTTTTCCTTTCCATATTCGCAGGAGGGGGTGTGACGGGTCAATTCTGCTTTAACCTGAAATTTCCGCGAGAGAATATTTTTGTAGGTATGATTTTTATTTTTATTTTCATCAATTTTCTCCCCAAATCCTCTTATTTCCGTCATTTTTCTTTTTGTGAATGGAAAAGTCAATGGAATTTCAAGATTCTGTGAACATTCAAGTGATGTTTCATTTTTTTAGGGGTGAGAAGAGGGAAATTCCACAATTTACATGAATTTTCAAGTGGAAATGAAAACCCACTGCCAAATTCCCTTGAATTTTTAGAGAATTCCTTTAAAATTCTTGAAAGTCTAGAAAATTATTGAGGAATTAACTTTCTAGTTTTCTAGAAATGTGAATAATTCTTCTGAATTACTCTGAAAATCCAAGAATTCTCTAAAAAACTGAATAATTTTCTGGCTTTTTCTCGAATCAAAAAAGAAAAAACATTTTCCTAAAATTTTCCAACTAACCGAGAAATTTCCTCAGTTTTCTCAAATTTAAAACCTACATTCAAGTCACAAAATAGAACAGAATCCAATTTATGCGACTGATTTAAACTATTAATGATTTAATAATTTTCTAAATTTTTCTCGAATAAAAAAAAAAGATATTTTCCTACAATTTTTCAAGAAACCAGGAAATTTCCTCGGTTTTCTATGATTTAAAACCTATATCCAATTAAAAAATGGGAGATAATCGAAGTTATGCCATTGATTTAAGCTATTAATTAATTAATTAATTTCTAGATTTTTCTGCATAAAAAAAGCATTTTCCTAGAATTTTCAAAGAAACCGAAAAAATCAGGAGCTACTGCGAAATATTCAAAAACTAGGAGGAAATATCCGAAGCAAAACTGTCGGCTAGCCTCAAATGCTGCGCTCTGATTGGTAGAAATCCGATTGGGAAAAATAATCACAAAAAATCGAGAATATTTTCATCACAAGTTGAGAACATGTTAACCCCTTTCAAACGAAATGACAACAAGAAACGCAGGTTTCCTATTCGCGAGTTATGAATTAACGCACCACCCCATTGATGAGAGATCGATTTGTAATTTTGTTTGCGTAAAACTGTTTCATATGTTGTGCTAACATTGAATGCATATTGTGATAATTTAAACGGGTATACTTAATCATATTTTCGTGAAAGAGTAGTGGACCGAGGGTGGGGCGAGAAGCGCGGAGGGGAGAGTTTGGCGATTGGAAAATCTGTGGTGTATAGAGGTATCGCACTACAAATCGCACCATACCGAGGCCGTATTGAATACACAGGCTGTACAATTACTGTACCACATCGAAATTACGATGAAAGGATCGTTGATGTATATAAATGTACATTTCCGTAAGGTGTAAAGAGGTATTTTGCTGGAGTTGGGGAGAGGATTTCAATGAAATGAGGCGGTTTCAATAATTCGGGAATGTATTCGTAACTTAGAAATCAATTCGGCAATTAATTTTAGTCTAAACATTTGTTAGAAGGAGGAAATAATTAATGGTTTGTGGGAAACAAGAAATTAATCTTATTCAGATTTTAATGTTTTTGGTAATTGTGGAGAAGTGAATTGTAAAAACTTCATTTATTTATAACTAACATTTTTTAATACTGATTTTTTTTTCATTTCCTTTATTGATTTATTGATTTTTGAAATTTTTTATTCATTTCAAGAACAAGAATTTAATTATGTAAAATAAATAATTTATCAATTTCGAATAAAATTCTTATTAAATTCAGTAAAATGATGAATTTCATTTCAAATAAATCAGTTATTGAAATTAAATGAACCATTTATTCATTTCGAATGAGGAGTTTCTCCATTCAAACGGAGAAATTGCATTAATCTAAGAAAAATGTTTATTTGACATTAATCAAAAATTTATTTGTCTCAAAAAAATCTTCATTTCACATTTTTTTATTCATTTCAAGAATGTCGCTGTCAAAAATAATTAAACTTGTTCACTTGCTCCACAAAAACAGATTTACTTAAACCAAATAAATAATTTATCATTTTAGAATGAAATTAAATTCATATAAAGAAATTTTCTTAATATAAGAAAAATGTTCATTGGGTATTGATAAAAAATTGCTTCGAATCAAATGACGATTTATTAATAATAAAACAAAACATTTATTGATTACAAACCGACCCTCACATAGAAATTCTCCAAAATTGACTAAAAACTTGATTTCGTACCATTTAAATAAACTCATTCATCAGCTTCAAATAACCTTCATGCGATCCAAATAAATAATTTTTCTGGCTGTACCCTCCCCCGCCTCACCCCCTTCCCCTCAAACGCATCATCTCCTACAAGAGCCAAAACCAAAAACCTCATTCCTTCCCTCGCGCATTTGAATACCCCCTCATTCTTTCCCTCCCTCGCCTCTTCGCCACAAAGGGTTGTATTTAAGGTCCCGACGAGACACGCATCACGGACCCCTCTTTGCGGATAATTTCCAGCGCAGAGAAACGCCACGAAGAGAGAAGGAGACTGCTCGAGAGGCTTGGGGTGATTTTTGGAGAGAAGCCGGGTTGACGCGGTGCGGTAAGAGGCAAAAAGGGGAAGTGTGCGTGTGTGAGGTACATCTCCCCCACCCAGTCGTACGTAACGCGCCAATGGCAAACTCCCGCGTATACTTTTTCACCCCCTTTTCCGTCCACAGGTCCCCCCCCCCCCCCCCCCCCCCCCCCCCC